GACGCTTCGAACTCAACCATCATCGCCTAATTCGCCCCATACACCCAACATGTAGTTATGATAACTGTAATGCAGCCTAATGGAAGTGTTGGATTAGCCTGTTACATTGCCAACTTTTCGGACCCATAAATAAATAAAAAATATATATATATTATGATATTTTTTGTCAAGCGGTAGCTCAGAAAAATTGAAACCTGGAAGTCTGGGTATGCATTTTTGCTAGTTTTGCATATTTAAGTGGATCAAGGTTAGTCAGCTGACAGTTGTATGGCATTTTGTAAACCAGCCAATTTCCAGACCCTTGATAGTAAGTAGCACGCGCATGAAAAAAAATAAAAAAAGTAAAACTTTTGCCGACACTACAAACATATCAATTTCATTTTATATTTATTTATTTATGAGTTCGAAAAGTTGTCATTTTAATAGGCTAATCTAACTCTTCCATTAGGCTTCATTACAGTTATCATGGAGACATGTTTGGTGCATGAGGCGAATTAGGTGACGATGGTTTAGTATTTATATAAATAAATAAACAAATAAATAAATAAATAAGTATACATAATGAAATTAATATGTTTGTAGTACCGGCAAAAGTTTTAATCCGTTTGTTTTTGTTCATGCGTGTACTACTTGTTATCGAGAATCTGTATATAGCCTGGTTTACAAAATGCTGTACGGCTATGTCAGCTGAATAACCTTGATGCACCTAAATATGCAAAAATAGCAGAAATGCACACCCTGATGTGCGGATTTTTATTTATCTGAGCTACCGCCTGACAAAAAATATCATTATATAAACACAATGTGAACAGATAAGATAGACAACTAGAGGGAGTAGGATTGGGCATGAATAAGGCCAGATTAACACGACTTATGAATATTCTAAAGGAAGGCTCATCAGACTACAAGATTAGCTAAAAAGTAGCGTATATTTTTAAGTGAATCAGGATAATAAGATTGGAATGAGAGGACTCAAACGGTTTCAAACTAGCCCGCCCAATCGGCTATATGAAGCAGCCTATTGCCTTAACTACCACTACACATTTTAATGTATGTGTGTATTTGTTTATTCGTCTATATCTCATCTATTTCTACTTTCTTGTTTATTCTGAGCCTGTTTGCCAATTGCGTGTCCACCTAGTTACTCATCCAGCCATACCCTTCAAAGACCTGTGTATTTGTCGGTATCACTCGTGATGCTCTTATTTCGTGTTGTAATGGTCCACGGAAGTAGGTTTAATTTTCTTGGAGTGCTACGTCTCTGCATTAGCCCCCAGTGCATCTCTTCCAGAGCCGGGGCAACCCATACTGAGGCATGAAGCCATTCTTAAGTTCACTCCTTCCCAACACTTGGCAGATGAGACTATTGCTATCAGTTTTAATTCCTTTCTCTTTGATTATTTGTTTTCCTGTTGATTTGTTCCTTTGTCGTATACTATCATTTAGAATTTGTGCTTAATGGCTTCTTTGAATCTGCTTTAAGTCAACACGACTTGCTGGACTGAGTCTGATTTAGAGTATCTTATTCAACTAGTGGTTGTATTAGAATCTGACTCACCATGACTCCCCTATCTGACAATTAATGTCACTTCGCAAAGAGCCTAATCGTGTCGGCAGGAAGCTGCGAATTCTATAATGACTTTCCAGGAATGCTTAGGTTCATCAATTATCAGAGGTGGACATTTTTGGAGCACCATCGGATCTCATTTTGCCGACCTAATAAGGGATCGTCTGTCCCTAATTCTATCAATGTGTGCTCGAGTGTCCCTTTGTAGTTATCCTTCATTTGACACTTCTTTATTTGTGCAGCCATGCCCTAGTCTGTTCGTATGCCTACATTCTAAGCCTATCAGTATTGAGCATTAGTGGTCCTTCTATTGCTCTATCTGTCCCTATAGGCTTCACTATTTATATACTTCTGTATTGCCTTTTATCGTTTCAGGTACAGATATATGCATGCCTGTCTGTACATCGTTTAAGTCCAAAATAATGTACTCATAGTTATACAATCTCGACATATTTACAGTCACCAACATCACTCTGTCTGATTCGGAATCTTACTTGAGCATGCACAAGCATAGTTGAAAGGATAACCTCCCCTAGATTGTCTCACATCTCTGTACACCCATCTGGGAAACTTTTGTCTACCACCTTTCTCCATGTCTGCCTGCATTACTGTTGCTAGACATTGGCCAGAGGAGAGCATTATAGCCCAGGCTCAACTGGGCAGCCCAAGTTGAGGCGAAGCAAATGAGAGAGAAACTGAGATGAGTTTGAGTCTAGACGAGACTCGAGAGAAATATTGCGATAAATGCAAGTAAAATGAGTATCAGACAAACAGGCGGACAGAGCGAAAGCGGTAGAAAGAGAGTGCGAATGTGGGACGAATGAGAGGTCTACCCGCTCACGTCAATGTGCAGGCTGTTGCTTGTCAGTGAGGCGGATGGTGACTTAATGGGTTTGGCGTGCCGACAAGCCTCAGGCTGGATGTTCCATTGTCCAGCCAGTCTCCGACTGACCTCGTCGCACAGCTTTGGTGGTACCGGAACTACCGCAAGGCTCAACACGAGACGGAAGATCCTGACAACTCGGCAAGTCCGGCCAGACTCATAGGCTATTTTGGATCTTTATGGCCCATCT